TGCAGAGCACTAATTCCGAGTATGGGTCACCATACTTGGCCACATGTCACGTCACTTTACACTTTACTTATTTTAATCTGAAATACTGCATTAATTGAAAAATTATTTAAATAAAAAATTATTAATACAATTAAAAAAATTTTTTTTATCATAATTATTGCATAAATATTAATTAGTACCATGAAATTCTCTCAAAATACAAAAGAAAAAATATTATTGAACAAAAATATATTAGATTGATTTTACTAAAAAAAAAAAAGTTACATTTCAGGTGTCCGGTCACTTTTGACCACGAAGACCATGAGTGTGACTCCCAAATGAGGAGCGCACAAGGTTAAACATTATCTCACAGTTGCACAATTATTATTAGTATTATCTTTTTACTATTTTATGCCACAGTGACAGGGACTAACAAGAAAGGATGAAAAAATATAGCGCTATATGCATTACCTCTCAATCTTTTTTAAAGAATTATTTTATGTTCACCAAGGCTGCGTTTATTTGATGTTTTCTATTTTAATACATTTTGAAATGTATCTTATTTCTGTTATATCAAAGCAAAATTTTCAGCATCATTACTCCAGTCTTCAGTGTCACATGATTCTGAGAAACATTTCTCATTATTATCAGTGTTGAAAACAGTTGTGCTGCTTAATATTTTTGTGGAAACTGTGATATTTTTTTTCAGGATTCTATAATGAATAGATGATTACACAGCTATCAAATAAAATATTCTGTATGATGACAGAATTTTATTTTTGGGTGAACTCTTCCTGAGTAGCGGTGATTGGTCTTTTACATATGCACTCGCAACAGTTTAATTAAGTGATGTAAATCTGTTCTTGACAATATGGCGGCTGCTATTTCTGTGTGTACTTTACAAATCACCCACTGACCATATTATGCCTCAGGAGACCCTTGATTAAATACTGTTAAAGCCCAGTTTTAATTTTTGAACAACCGCTATGGGACCATTTTAAAAACCCATCATTGGAGAGAGTCTAGCTTTTATAACTTTGCAATTTGTCTCTTCGTATCTTTTGAAAATCTATTTCAGCATAGCTTGTGTGTGCATAAATGTATGAAATAGACTTTAAATCAATATGTTAGAGTGACTATTTAAAATCCCTCTGAAGTTTTGGTTCATTGGTGCTTGTGATCTGACATATATTTTGATGCTCAACTTCATGCTCTTCTCCGCTAACATGCATTGAATTTGATTATAGCCCATACACATGATCCTGCTGTTTCATAAGGCCTTGATGTGTCAGATCTCATTGGTTTACTCAGGTTATCTCTGCTATCTGTTGTTTGGCCTGTTCTGCGACCACGAAGACCATGAGTGTGACTCCCAAATGAGGAGCGCACAAGGTTAATAGAAAAGTAACTAGTTTGATTCAATAGACTAAGCAGCCTTCTTTATGTATAAATTGCCTTATTTTTAAGGAGATGGTTCTTTACTTAAACGAGTAGCTTGGATCTTGCAGATCATCATTGATCGTTCGTTGCCCTTTGATCCCGTCATCTGTTGGAAATTATTTTCAGTGCGCTGTTTTTGATTAGGTTGCCTCTGGATGCTGTTGTCTCACTAATGCATCTTGGCCATATCGCTGCGGGTATTCAGTCATTGAGATAAACATCAGAGTTCCTCTGCGTGGGCAGCTCTTAAAATGTTTTGATTTTGAAGTAATCAAATTGATCAGTCCTGACCTCTTATGAATTGACTCATCCAGGGGTTGCATTGGCATTATGAAAGTGCTAAATTCCTGATGTGATTTGTATTAGCCAAGTCACCAATGTGTCACTAATAGATTAATGGCTGTTCCTGCAACTTCAAACACTTTAATGTCTCAGTGGTTGAATTTTAGCAATGTTTATTCAGCTTTTTCTTTTTATTATATGAAGCTAACGTTAAAACTTTTTAATGCCTCTGTTTATTTTTGCTACCTTTCAACTGTATAGATGTTTGTTTATTTTAGTGTTGTACCATTGTCCCAGAGCCATACTTTAATAGCCAATATTAAACTATGAAAATCCATTATAAAGTTTAGTTATTGCATGTTAGAAGCTATTATGATCTTAAAAAATATGATAAACCATTTCATTATTTATTTTGTTAAAATAATTCATATCTATTTTTGTCTTATACAGTATTTGTATTTTTTATCTATATATTTTGACACAAATTATGACTGTCCCCCAGTTGTAGCATCATTTCCACCACAACAAACAATTCTGCTTTTTATTAGATAATAACATTTTATCAAAAGTTAGTGTACTTGTTTACCAAGTAGACAACAGTGTCAGTGAAGAGCATGCATGAGATGAAGCGCGATATATGAAGAAAATCAAGAAGAAAAAAAGATCATCACTTGAACGTTTTTTTATAGTGCATAATTTCCAGTTATGTTATAATTTTTTTGTCTTGCATTTTTAGAGAGACATTTAAAAAAAAGTATAATTTTTTTTTTATTCAGTTGTAATTAAGTTTTTTTTTATCTGTCTAAATGTAATTTTTATAACTTATCTCATTTAGTTGGGTAGTGACAGTATTTAAAGGGGTAGTTTTTTTTCTTCTTTTTTTATTTGTCTGTCAGGTATCTTTCCACCATTCCTGTCAGTCTTGCTGTTATTTAATCGTGTATTTAGCATACAATGCTAGCTATGAAATTAGACTTAGCAAAACAAAATAATAAACCATTTTATTCCAGAAATGTAATTTCCACCTTCGTCATTTCCATCACACAGTGTTATTAAATGCAATGCATAATTTGAGATGAGGTGAAGATGAAAGTGTGGAGCAAATGTTCATGGTTTTGAGCAAAAATTTGCTCAAGACTTTTCCTATAATGCATGTATGTCAGCTGATGGGCATTATTAGTAGACAAATCAACTACTGAGAGTTTAATACCCTTATATTGATGTTGTTTCTGAATCTGTTGAATCTGTCATGTTGACTGAAGTGTTTTTGATGATCAGTTGGCACGCCACAGAAAAAATCTTCAGCAGAGTTTGAAACCTGGCCCAGACCCTACCATAGAAGGAGAGGCAACGCTTCTATACTATGCCAACCACACCGCTCAGATAGAGGTATGAGAGTTTGAGAGTTCATGAAGATATCTATCTTATCTAATTTAATTTGCACCTTTATCACTTGCACCTTTTTTGGCTTTTCTATAGTTTTAATGACGCATTTGAAGTCTCGTTTACTTATCACTGCTTTTATCAGACAATTTAAGTAAAAATATATCAGTTAAACATGATTGATCACTGATCTTCCCATTTTTTTTTTTTATTTCAGATCGTCCGCCATGACCGCACAATGGAGCAGATCGTGTTTCCTGTGCCCAACATCTGCGAGTACTTAACAGAAGAATCAAAAGTGCGCGTGTTCACCACAACAGAGCGAGACGACCAGGGCAGCAAGGTCAACGACTTCTTCCAGCAGTTTGATGACCTCTACAATGAGATGAGGTGGCAGAAGAAAATAAGAAGTGGGTTGTTTTGCTTTGTGCAAAAAACAATGTAACAATTTATCACCAGTTCGAGTCTGTGTCAGAGTCATTATGCTGATGTATTGGTGTGTGTTTGCAGATAATACACCACTTTTCTGGGTGTCAAAACATATATCTCTATGGGGGAGTATCTCCTTTAACATGGCTGTGCTAATCAACTTGGCTGTCGCTCTTTTCTACCCATTTGGAGATGATGGAGATGAAGGTATGGCTGTGATTTTTTATATATAAAAAGTTGCATAATTATGTCCTTATGATTTCTGTGATGCGGAAAATGCAGACGGAATCACGGAATCCAGTCATAATGGAATCTACTTTACAACATGAAATGTCACAAAATGTAGCAAAATTTGGATGAATAAAAAGTAGGGATATATGATTAATCAAATTGTGATATGGACTAGTGTCTGTGAATATTAAACCGTAAAAAATGTTATATTAAATTTAAATTAGATTAAATCTGAAGTCTCTTGCTGCAAATGCACGCAGAAACTCGAAGCTCTTCATTACAAACTGACGAAGATTGGTTTAACTTGAACAAATTGTGACAATAGAAATATATTGTACTGTAGAATGTACTTTTCAAAGTAATGGCAATTAAAATAAAAGTTTTTAAATTATTATTTTTACAAGAATATCAAAATTTTTGATCCATGTTTAAATTGAAACTCTTATACATCTGTTGTGCAGCACTTTATTTGCCAAAAAATGAAAGGAATTTCATTAAATTAGATTTTAAAGGAATAATTAAATCATTAAAGTTTTATTCTTTCATTTGATTATCACAGTTTTTGATAATGAATTTGTATTAAATCATAAAACACAGAATCAATAAAAATTAAGACAACACAAAATATCTTTAAAACAAATAAAACACATTTCATAGGGCATTATTATTTTAAAAATTCTAATTATTAAATTGTTAACGATTTATGAATTCAGTTGATTAGACATCCTTTTTGATTAAGATTTTAAAATGTAATTAAACCTTTAAAACAGAATTCAGAATAATTTAAACTGAAAACACAGAATTTGGGAAAAAAGTAAACTGATTTCATAGGGTCATACATAATAACATTTAAAGGGGTAGTTCACCCCAGAATTTTTCATGCAGTTCTTTGTTTTCTCCCTCAGGTGTCTTGCCACCGTTCTTGTCCATCTTGCTTTGGGTGGCAGTGGTCGTGAGCACCTTCACGTTGTTTGTTCTTCCCCAGCGTGGAGGTATCCTGGCGTTCCTGGTCACCGTCATCTTCCGTTCTATTTACACGCTGGGCTTAGGACCCACACTGCTGCTTCTGGGAGCCGCCAACGTAAGGCTAATTCATTATCAACCATTCACGCTTCATTTAGCAACTCAGCACTCTGCGTCCGTGAATTGATTAAATGTCAAAGTGTATTTTGAATGTATAAACCAACCAAACTCCTATTAGAAAAGACCAGCTACTAACACTTCATGTTCGCTGATTAATCACTAATACCGATTAACTAGGAGAAGCTGCTCGATATCTGGCTAAATATGAAAGATGGCAGAAGAGGAACTAGTGTTGCCATTTTGCATCAATGTCAGTTACGATGACAGAAGCGGCTGATGTGCTTGATGTGCGTTCAGATAAAAAATGAGAGCGATTTCATGCCTCTCTCCCAGCCAACTGGAGCTTCAGCCATCAAACTGCTGACACTTCCCTCTGTTGTGTCAGTCTGTTTGCGTCTGCTCAAGCTGGCGTCTCAGCCATTATGGCACCACATGAAGAACCAACAGAGACATGTGCTGAAACAGATTCTAGGAGTCTGGGATCTGTTATACTACACGCCACTCGCCACGTCTTCTAGTGGTCACCACAAACTGTGTTTATTCTCGCTGCAAGTGAACTCGTATGTATTTTCTTTCAACTTGCTCCTGGTTTTGAGGATGAGGGCATGTCACATAACTGGCCATGTTGGTGTCTGCTTAATCTGGCTAGCTTCTGCCAAGACACACTTACTTTGTGTTACTTTACTATGTCAGCCAAGAAGAATATGGAAACATTTTCTCTTTCTTTTAAAAGTGATTTATTTATAACCCTATTTATTTTCCCAACTATGTATGCTTTATATGGTTAGGTGCACTTTATTTTTTGCAGCTATCATGCTTTTCTTTTTTGGCTATATGACTGAAAAGTATTGAAGCCCATTTCATCATTGAAAAAAAAAAAAAAGAAGTCAGAATTGCAAGTTGTGAACTCAAAAAAAAGTCTGAATTGTGAAATATAAACTTGTAATTGCAAGAAAAAGTGTCAGAATTGTAAGATAAAAAGTTGCAATTACCTTTACAAAAAAGGCCTAAGGGGCTTCCATAGAAAAGTGTTTGAATTGAAGGCTGTTGAATCTTTTAATGTGATTGTAAGGATGCTAATGCTATAGCATTATCTTCTGATGTCTTTTCACAGCTGCTGAATAAAATCGTGTTCCTGGTTAGTTTTGTGGGGAACCAGGGCACGTTCACACGAGGGTACAAAGCAGTTATCATGGACGTCTTCTTCCTTCTGCATGTCAGTTACGTCATCGTTTGCATGCTGGGTCTGTTCGTACATGAGTTTTTCTACAGTATCCTGGTACGACTTCACACTTTTTGCATTATAATTAATTTTCTGTAGTAAAAGTTAATGATTTAATTCAGGGGTTTAAAGTGAATGTTTCTTTTGCTTGCCAAGGGTGCATTTATTTGATCAGAAATATACTAAATGGAGAAATATTGTAAAATATTCTAATGTAAAATAACTGTTCTATTTTAATATATTTTAAAACATAATGTATTCCTGTGTTTGTGAATCTAAATGTTTAGCTTCCATTACTTCAATCTTCAGTGTGACATGATGTTATGCTGATTTAGTGCTCAAGAAACATTTCTTGTTGTTATTAATGTTGAAAGTTCTGCTTAATATTTTTGTGGAAAGTGATACTTTTTTTCAGGATTCTGAATAGAATCGATTTTTCTGAATCGATTTTGAATAGAAAGTTAAAAAAACAGCATTTATTTGAAATATTTTTTTTTTTGTATCAATGTAAAAGCCTTTACTGTCATTTTAGATCAATTTAATGCAAATTTAATAATTTCTTTTTGGCTTTATAACAATGACAATGTAAATAATTAAATTTCAGAAACAACATGTCTTTATAAGATCCTCCTCTTTCTCTCTTTTATTCCGTCTAGTTGTTTGATCTTGTGCGAAGAGAGGAAACGCTCCTAAACGTGATGAGGAGCGTGACGAAGAACGGCCGCTCCATCTTCCTCACAGCTGCTCTGGCTATCATCCTGGTCTACCTCTTCTCCATTGTGGGCTTCCTTTTCTTTAAAGATGACTTCCTCATGCAAGTCGACCGCCTCCCTGCTTTAAGTAAGCATTGAGTGTACATGATGTCCCCGTCATGCTCTTTGCTGTGGTGGCCTCCTATCTCTCCAGCCGTACATTGCATAGAACTTGTGGTTTTGGTCTTTCGTTTCATATTTCCCAAATGTTCTGCATGGATGAAGTCATTATCATGTGCTAATGTGCAACCCTCCGTATCGTATGTGTAAACAACTTGGTATGAATAGAAATGTCTTTTTTAGAGAGATTACCTCATCATGTATTCTGATGTATTCAGATGATGTGATGTATTCAGTATGTACTCGGTGTATCAGTGCATTCATGCATGCACATGTTAACGTTTGAAGGTGAATATTTGTGTTTGTGTATATGTGTTTACATGAACACACATGGCCATGTAACTGTGTTGAGGACCTGCTAGCACATGGCACCTGTTGCATAACCCAGCAGTGGCCACACTCCCTTATGTAATCACTTCCTCTGTGCACTGTACAAGCACTGGGGACAGAAAGGGCACATGCATACACGCGTGCACTGGAATACAACACACATGATTATTGAATTAAGAATTTCAGTTGTGGAAATACAAAACCTTTGACTTGGTAGATTAGCTTCAATTGTCTTGCTGATTGCTGTTGAAATAGTTTTTCCCCAAATATGACAAATAAACTAAATGAAATCAGACTTTTGAATTGTTAAGCACATGCTATGAATGTATTTTGATGTTTTCACTGTGAATATTTGTTTGGTTTGTCTTTTAGAGAAGATGAATGTGAAGGAGTCTATGAGCTGCCAGAGTGAGACCTGTTCTAACTCCCCTTTTAGTTCTAACCACGGTAAGTCACCATTTTTACAGTGGCCTCAAAAATTTCTGGACATTTAGGCCACACACAATATGTATAAATGTCCTTGAAATAGACATGAAAATGTCACACCAAGTGGCATTTTTTGAAGAAATATAACACACTTTATAGCACACTTTTCAAGCAAAACACAAAAAGAATCTTGTAAAAGCTTTTTAATTAAATGTACAATAATAATGTTTAAAATAAAAATGTATTTGGACACTCAGTGGTTGGTTGGTTTGATATATTTTTTGTTTAATGTGCTTTTTTAAAAGTTTTGGTGATTTAGGTGTTACTTTTTAGGGCCACAGTTTACCATATTGATCCATAAAGCACACCATGAAATGGTTTGAGAAGCGTGATGTCTGCAGTGTGATTTCCATACAGCTGTGCTTGAGTATCATTAGGCTGTAAAATCTTGGACTTTAACTGGGTGATTTGAGTGTCATATTGAGATGGATATCAAGAATATTTTAGCATTTACTGTGTAGCGCTGCAGTTTCTCTTTTAATTTCACCTCTGTCTCACCCTTCAGCTGAATGTTCTTGCATAATCTGCAGTAGTGGTGGCATGTCGTCTGATTTGTGTGTGCGTGTGTATTTATGGTTTTCCTAAGTGTTTGTTTGTAAAGGGCTGGTCCTGTGTATCTGTTCTAGAGGTTAAGGTGCTGAGATGACCCGTGAATGTGTGTGTGTGTGTGTGTGTGTATGTGAGAGAGAGATGACTCATGTGCTTCTTTGTTCTGCTTTGCCCTGTGAGTCTTTAAAGATCACCTGTGCTTCTAGATATCAACACGTGCACTCTCTTTCTCTCTCACACTCACCCTCTTTCTTTCTTTTGACCTCTGTGGCCTTTCTCTGTGTCCCTCACGTATTCCTTACTTACCTTTCCACAAGCTCATTCCTTCAGTCTTCCTGTCTTTCTTTGTGACTTTTCTTAGTCTGTTTCTTTATATATATGTGTGTGTGTGTGTGTGTGTGTGTGTGTGTGTGTGTGTATACTTTTAAGCCTTATATACAATTTATATATACAGTGGAGTCCACTAGTAAAAATCTCTCTAATTTGCATTTGATAGAAATATAGGGATGGAATGATTGATAAATTGATTAATTTATCAAATCTTAATGCATGCTTATATTTATTAATAAAATGTAAATTCTAAATGTATAGTGTTAAATCTGAAGACAATTATAAATCTAAATATTTGAATATTTAGTTTGAATATGTAGTTATACATTTGAATAGATATAAATCTAAATAAATGTGTACATAATTATTTGCAAAAAAAAGTAAAAATTCTAAATATATAATATGAGAATAGATAATTATACAACTAAAAATATAGAAAATAAGTAAATATACTGAATGTGTAGTTTTAGTTCTGAATAGACTATATATCTAAATATGTAAATAAATATGTAAAATTGCTGAATATATAGTAAGAATTATAATTATGAAGTTACAATTATAAATTTAAATACATGTTTAAATACAGAAATAAATCCTGAATATATAAGTATAATTCTAAATAGATAGTTATACATCTCATATAAATAAATATAGAAGTAAAAATCCTTAATGTATAATTATAAATTATGAATAGATAATTATATATCTAAATATATAGAAAATATGTAATTATTCTGAATAGATTATGTATCTAAATATGTAAATAAATATATGTAAAAATGTTGAATATATGGTTATAATTCTGAATATATAATTAAGACATCAAAATATATAAATAAATATGAACATTCTGAATATATATAGTTAAAATTCTGAATAGATATTTATACATCTAAATCTATAAGTACAAATCCTGAATATAAAGTTATAAATCTGAATATAAATGTTTGAAACTGTTATTTTATCAAGTGTCTGTATATTTGTGTGTGTGTGTTCATCTCGGTGGAAGAAGAGGATGAAGATGGTACAGAGCGTGTGTGTGACACCCTGCTGATGTGCATCATTACGGTTCTGAACCACGGGCTGAGGAATGGAGGAGGAATTGCAGATGTTCTGCGCAAGCTCTCCAAAGAGGTGAACGGAATATCATCAATGCAGCACACTCAGACATGAGATACGCCAATGAATCCTTTCCAGCGTCACTAATACTGTCAGTATAATCCATGTTTAAAGCTGTGGAATCTGCACGCATCTGTACATCATGCTTTTACGGACCCCTGCATTCGGTTATACTCTCTCTGAGCATCTGTCTATATGCTTTGAAGTGTTGCAATATCAGTCACACCAGCTTCAAAGAGCCTATTTTAGGGATGATTGAAAACTGCGGATCAATAAAAGATAAAAACCTTTTCTTTTTTTTTTGAGTACTTTAGGTATTTTTTTTAAAATTGCTTTTAGAGATTAAATAAAGTATTTATTGTTTCAGTATATATACAGGTGCATCTCAATAAATTAGAATGTCGTGGAAAAGTACATTTATTTCAGTAATTCAACTCAAAATGTGAAACTCGTGTATTAAATAAATTCAGTGCACACAGACTGAAGTAGTTTAAGTCTTTGGTTCTTTTAATTGTGATGATTTTGGCTCACATTTAACAAAAACCCACCAATTCACAACAAATTAGAATACTTCATAAGACAATAAAAAAAACATTTTTGGTGAATTGTTGGCCTTCTGGAAAGTATGTTAATTTACTGTACATGTAGGGGTAGGGGCTCCTTTAGCTTTAATTACTGCCTCAATTCGGCATGGCATGGAGGTGATCAGTTTGTGGCACTGCTGAGGTGGTATGGAAGCCCAGGTTTCTTTGACAGCGGCCTTCAGCTCATCTGCATTTTTTAGTCTCTTGTTTCTCATTTTCCTCTTAACAATACCCCATAGATTCTCTATGGGGTTCAGGTCTGGTGAGTTTGCTGGCCAGTCAACTTTTGGTGCTTTTGGCAGTGTGGGCAGGTGCCAAATCCTGCTGGAAAATGAAATCAGCATCTTCAAAAAGCTGGTCAGCAGAAGGAAGCATGAAGTGCTCCAAAATGAATAATGGTAAACGGGTGCAGTGACGTTGGTCTTCAAAAAGCACAATGGACCAACACCAGATGACATTGCACCCCAAATCATCACAGACTGTGGAAACTTAACACTGGACTTCAAGCAACTTGGGCTATGAGCTTCTCCACCCTTCCTCCAGACTCTAGGACCTTGGTTTCCAAATGAAATACAAAACTTGCTCTCATCTGAAAAGAGGACTTTGGACCACTGGGCAACAGTCCAGTTCTTCTTCTCCTTAGCCCAAGTAAGACGCCTCTGACGTTGTCTGTGGTTCAGGAGTGGCTTAACAAGAGGAATACGACAACTGTAGCCAAATTCCTTGACACGTCTGTGTGTGGTGGCTCTTGATGCCTTGACCCCAGCCTCAGTCCATTCCTTGTGAAGTTCACTCAAATTCTTGAATCGATTTTGCTTGACAATCCTCATAAGGCTGCGGTTCTCTCGGTTGGTTGTGCATCTTTTTCTTCCACACTTTTTCCTTCCACTCAACTTTCTGTTAACATGCTTGGATACAGCACTCTGTGAACAGCCAGCTTCTTTGGCAATGAATGTTTGTGGCTTACCCTCCTTGTGAAGGGTGTCAATGATTGTCTTCTGGACAACTGTCAGATCAGCAGTCTTCCCCATGATTGTATAGCCTAGTGAACCAAACTGAGAGACCATTTTGAAGGCTCAGGAAACCTTTGCAGGTGTTTTGAGTTGATTAGCTGATTGGCATGTCACCATATTCTAATTTGTTGAGATAGTGAATTGGTGAGTTTTTGTTAAATGTGAGCCAAAATCACCACAATTAAAAGAACCAAAGACTTAAACTACTTCAATCTGTGTGCATTGAATTTATTTAATACACAAGTTTCACAATTTGAGTTGAATTACTGAAATAAAGGAACTTTTCCACGACATTCTAATTTATTGAGATGCACCTGTATTATAAAGTGGGACCAAAATTTTACTTACAGGAATGTTACTGTATGCAGAATTACTTAATTTACAAAAGATTCACTTACAAAAATATAGATATGTAACTAAGGATACTTTTTTCTCCAACTGAGACATGCAAAAATGTTATCAAATTATTTGTTGTGGTGATCAGCATTATGATAGATATCGTATACTGTTGGCAAAGCTTTATTTAAATCAAAACCAGAACATTTCATGTGCCTCCATTACACTATTATTGGTTTATGACTCTGTTCACATACTACATCTTTGGTTTCACTTTGTTTTGATGTTTGCTTTAACACATTGTGTTGACTATAAGTAATGTTGCACCTACATATTAGTAGAGTGGTAGGGTTAAGGTTAGATTAAGTTTTAAGATTAAGGCTTAATAGTCAGTAGAATGTCTGTTGGGAGACCATCACAATAAAGAGTTAGATATTAAGCAGACAGTCTACTAACACTCTAATGAGAGTTAGTTGACATGTAGGTGCAGGGGCACCGTAAATGGGGGGAAGGTTAGGATGATTGTAAGGGCCCGACGATGGAGCGCGATTGATTTCTACCAAGGGGAACGCGATCGCGATTTGTACCGAGGGGAACCCCCGGGATGCGATTTACCGAGGGGAACGCGATCTGTACGGCGGGAGAAAACTGATTAAATGTAAAATTGCTTAAAACCGATAAATGATTATAAATATTCTTGCTTTTATTAAACATCAATTACATTGTTAATGTTAAAAAAATAAAATAAAATAATGATTGTGATATTTATTTAACCTGGATTATAAAAAGTCACTTACAAAATTATTGGGTAACATTTTATTTTGATGGACCCTTTTGAGCATTTTTTTGACTTTAAGTAAATTTGCACCTACATGTCAACTAACTCTCATTAGAGTAGACTGTCTGCTTAATATCTGCTAACTCTTTATTGTGATGGTGTGATGGTGAAACCAATTATTGTTGTAGAAACAAAATATTTTTGTCAAAATATTTAAGCAACACAATTTGCATGATAGTTTAATATGTAAAAGATTAACAGTGTTTCCCACCATGCAGCCGTAGTGAAGAATCCACCCAACAACCTGTGGATCATCGCTGCAGTGCTAGCACCCATCGGTGTGGTGACCCTCATCATCATCATCATCACCACGGTGCTGTGTCACAAAAACAAGAGCGATTTCAAAAGCGATCCCATTGGAAACTTCAACCCTCGAGTCAAGGTACGGCAGTGACTGGATAAACATCCTGCTTGACCATTTCCCATAAGGCACCGCTTTGCTCTTTAACTCTCTCATTATAACTCATGCTATTTTGTACACTCAGCATATTTTACAGTGGCTTCATCAACGGTTTTTCTCAAACTCTTACATGCTTTGCTTGCTTTGCCTCTGGGAATACATCCCGAGAGAGTGTATGAGAGAGAGATAGAAATGATTGATGATCTTCATGCTGTTTTCTCTCATTTAGACTGCTTACTGGAGAGACGTGGGTTATTACCCTCAGGTAGTTATTCAGCTCTTCAATCATCTCACCTGCTGCTATGGACTCCTGATGTGCACACAGTCTTAAGGATGATGTGTAGAGTAGACAGGTCTCAGGGACAAAGTACTAATGATAGTGCACAATTAAAGGGTTAGTTCACCCAAAACAGTCAAATTATTTCGTCATTGACTCACCTGTGTGTCATTCCAAACATGTATGTCTATATTTATTTTGTGGAACATAAAAGGAGATGTTCAGTGAAGTGTGCTGGCTGCTTTTTCCATACAATGAAAGAGAATGGAGACAGGAATGTAGAGTTTCAAAACGAACACTTCATGCTTTCATTGTATGGCAAAGAGCAGCCTTGACATTCTACAAAACATTTAGAAATTCGTACAGATTCTGAATGACATGATATGATATGATATTTACTGAATTGAACAAAATTTTGTGTGAACTATTCCTATGAACATTATGTCAATAGTATTTTTTTTCTAGATTAGGACCTGATTGTATATGTGTGTGTGTGTGCATGTATTTGTGTGTGTTCCTTTGCGTGCTTGTATGCCTAAACAAGCTGAATATTTTAGGAATAAGTTCAGAAATCCTCTGATGATTTAGTTGGACGTAGGCTAGCGGGACTGTGGAAGGGACAGAAACCTCTTTGTTATAAAAATGCATTTAATACATCAATTGTGTAAAACCATAAAACATCTATCCTCCTCTCTAAAAGAAATGCAGACAGCAGCACTTATTTAAAAATGTCAAATATGTCTTATTTATTAGGTATAATGATCTGACCTGCTTTTTCCCCATATACACCCTCTGGCCTCGTTTATCATTTGCTATGACTGACAAACTACTGCCTAAATTTGGCTTGACCATTATAGAATGCCTCCTTGCCTTCAGTTATACAGTAACTGAGGATTTGCTATTTGCAAAACATGTGCAGTGTATTATAATTATTATTAGAATATATTTGCAGGGCTGCACAGCCGTTCTTTATATTAGTTTTTTGGACAGCAACACCAGGCCAGCGGTTTCAAGATGGCTTACGGTTATGGGTTTAGATCAAAGCCAATAGCAGCAGAAGTTATTGGACATATGGCACTTTTGAACCAATACCTCATCATGGCATTTGTTTTTTTTTCTTTTTTTATGTTGAAATAAACATACAGTGGGTATAGGAAAGAATCACCCCCCTTTAAAATAATCACATTTTGTTGCTTTGCAGCCTGAAATGAAGACGGACACAGTTTTTGTTTTATCCAGCTGTATTTACTCAGTACAACTTATAACATCCAAGTGAAAGATATAACACCAAC